TTTTTCTAGTGATATTACGACTTCAATATTTGTGGCGGACGGACGTAAAGTCGAATAAAATGACTTAAACTTGATTTTTATTTTTCCGTATACTTTTTTGACAAACGACGTATAATCGGGAACGACGTAACTCGAAACGACGTAAGTCGAGGTATACCTGTATATATATTATGTGGAAAAGTTTTGACTTGCACCTTTGTCTTAGGATCATTTTTCTATTAGGAATTGTTTCCCTTGTTGACAATATGGCAGATGTGTCTGAAGTATGTTGTGCCATAAGTACACGCAATTGTACATTTAAGAAAACCTGGCTTGAGTGAATGAATTCTAAACTTGGTTAACTCGTGATGATATACGTTCGGCTCGTTGCATTATTTTCCGGAACCTCGTTTAGTGTTAAATACGATAGAATTACAAGGCATTTACAAACAAAAATTACATTTTTGTTCACGAAAGTCGACAATTGGACATTAAAGTAATCATTGTTTTCTTTTTTTAATTAACAGGGAAAGTGAATAATTCACTAGTGGCAACGGAAGAATTTTCAAAGAGAGTAACCAAACAGGCCCTTCTGGTTTACCATAAAAAGTTACAAGACATTTACTCCACCGCAAAAAGAAAAGAAATGATACCGGAAGAAAATTCTTTTTTCGTCTTCACTGCCGAAAAAGAGGGAGAGTCGCGAGGTCAAAGTAAAGGTTCGATTACTTCTAATTTAGAAAATAAATTTTTCGACGAAGCCGTCGACACTAAAAGCCACTTAAGAAATGCAGAACCTCATCTGGAGATGGTTAAACGAACGGAGAACGTAACGAATGGAGGAACGTTACTTCCTAACGATTCTCCTTCGTTTCAGTCCGTTTCCTCCTCCGTCACGCATTCGATTTCGGTGGGAAGCGAACCTCGTTCCCTTTCTCCGTCCCGATATGGCGGAACGGAAACGTTAACTCGTTTGATCCCTTCGACGGAAGTCGAGAAACTTGACGAAAGGAGAGACTATCTCTTCCGTAAAATGTCGGCCGAACAGCCTTTCTCCGACTTTTAGAATAGAGATTTTACTTTTAATTCGTGTACAAATCTATTTTTTATGTATAATACGAAGTTTACGCGCTTCTCGGTTACATCTAATGTATGCTTGTCGGTAGGAAATAGTTCTAATTGTTAAACGCACAAGTCCGTTCGTTGTCTATAGTTATAAAACTACTTAATACGAGTAAATAAATTTTTGTTTTATAAAAAATAATGAATTTGTTTTGTTTGGTCGAGTTTATAGTTTCGATTTGCGATTTAATTAGCTTCAGTTTTCCCGTATAATATAATATATCATAAGTTAATTTTAAATATTCATTTTATGTAGTCTCTTGCAATTACCTAATCGGAAAAATAAATAAATAAAAGTTTATATACAGGCCTCGGAGTCATTTTTCGGATCATTTCCACGTACCGGTACCTAATTAGGAAAATGTGGGACAGATCAAAAAGAATTTTAGGGCCAAACGATCTGCCGAATTGAATTATAGGACTATCGGAATAGAATTTTCTGTAAGAAAATACTCTACCTTGAGCGGGACTCAAAACCGCAACTGTCGCTCAGTTTGTTAGGTTATAGGAAACAAAAATTTCTTTCACGTATGTAAAAAATCCTTCATGTACTTAAAAAATCCCTCTCATTACAAATTCAGAAGACAATGTTGAGTAAAGTTATGTACTTACGCCGTATTGTCATTATTAACCAAAATCTAGTTTTTTCAAAGTTGCATTTCTTTCTACGGTAATTAAAAATGAGTATTCTAAGCATCCCTACGTTGGTTGTTTTCTAAGAAAATTCCTAAAATCCCTTTGCAGGGGAAAACACTACACCGAGGGATTAGTCTCTCAAGCTTTATACACAAAATTTACCAAATAAATTAAAAGATTCGAAGTGTTGTAAAAAGTACAACACGTGATTGCTTGCGGGAAAAATTTTCACAAGCGTTCTCTAAAAAGCCTTATTATTTATGAAATCATTAATAAAAAGTTATTTTACTTTAAAGCATTAAAAAATAAACAGTTTACGGTCATGATAGATATCCCAGTAAAGCCAAATTAGTGAAATCAGCATTGACCCGCTTTCATGGCAATGCTGATGTGGAACGGGGATTTTCAATTTTACGCCGGGCACTTTCTCCTGATAGAGCATCAATGTTGGAAAGAATGATTAATTCACTTTTAATTGTTAAGGAAAGACTAATCATGTATGACCAAAGCCCACACCTTATACCCATTACAAGGGACTACTGAAATTAGCTGCCTCAGCGCATAGAAATTATCAAGAACAATTGGAAAATGAAAAGAAGTTAAAAGAATAAGAGAAACAGAAAAAAGAGCAGAAGAGGAAGCACAAACATTTTGAAGAAGAACAAAAGAAAGCTGTTCGTAACAGGAAGATTATGGCACTGCAGTAGAGTTTAAACCAGAAAAATGTAGAAGAAAGTGAAATACAGTACGTGCGACAGGCCAAGTTTTGTTAGAAGCAGCAAGCAAAAAACTGGAGAAGGCTATTAACAGCAAGAACATGAATGAAGTAAGGCCAACACATATGATGTTAGTGTTAAAGTGTTCAAAAGCAAGGGAAAGCAAAAAAGGAAGCTGAAAACATCCAAAATAATCTTAATAAAAGATCATCATCTTTCATGACTGATTATTTACAGAAGCCAAAGACTTTTTAAGTATTCATAGCTTATTGGAAATATAGTACACCTTCCTTATATCGCGCTTGTCTGGAGACAAAATCGCGATATAACAGAGTAATAAAAATTCTGGGCTTTTACTAAACAGATTATTGGTGACGACCAGACCCTAAACACCGGAGTTCGATCGGGGGTTCGCGCCTCACTCGAACGAGCTGGCAGCTGGAGTTTTTTCCGGGTTTTCCTCCTTGCCAATGACGCCTGAATAGGGGCCAGCTTTCCCTCCAAGTCCTCCCTGAAGGCATTCTGTCTTCCTTTCTCGCGGGGGTCGTCTCTTATAAGGCCGGCTTTGGTCGCTTCGTGACCTCTCTCCTGTTTTCCTCGGATTGGTCGTCTTCTATAAGACCGCCTCTTCCTCACTGTCTTCTGGAGTGAAAAGCGACAAGCTGCAGCACTCTATCGTCCGTGCAATGAAATGAAATAAACAGATTATACATGTTATGGAATCATTATTCTTTCATCCGCAAGTGTTTCTTATACTGTATAAGCTTAGATAAATTAGATAACAGAATAAAATTCAGTATTTGCAATACTGAATTTTATTCGTGGTTATATCGTATCAATTGAGGTTTACGTAAACATCAATACCACAAACGTCCATTTAGCATTATTGTTTCTTTAGCAATGACATTTAAAGACAAATACTGTCGATATAAAAACAATATCAATTGCGATTTTATTATACAATACCAGTAGACCCCAATAAAACGGGTTCATATAATTACGATTCCTATAAGACCGAAAAAATTGCGACGGTATCCGTAAAAAACGGTAAAAACTCCTATAATTACGTAAAACGTCATCGGGCAGCCGAACTACTTTCCGCGCCGTCAAGCGCCACGCTACGGAGAGATTACTATCGTCTGTACAGTATTATATATAAATTAGGTACTGTACATATAATTATATATTAATTATATATAAATTAGGTAGTGTATATATAATTACTGTACCTATTTTGGAAATGTTGAGTCGGATTAGTCTAGAATCGATTAATTTTATGGAAGAAAACCTTTCAAACAGCCTTAGTCTGTAAACTTCACAGGCTGTGATTGGAAGGACTCGTAAGAAATCGGATTCCTAAAGAATGGAACGTATCTACTGTCTTATAGGGGGGTCGACTGTATTATATTTCAGTACAGTACTATATAAATCGTTTATTAAAAATCTGTGTAATATATATTTTTCAATAAAAATTATAAATGCGGTAAATGAAAATTTTAAAAAATAAATATTGAACATATAATAGAACATCAAAACATAAAATTACAGAGTAAAAATTACCTAAAAAGCAAAGAACTCTCCGTTCAGACATAAAGAAATCTTTTCCTTACACATTACGCTGTGAGTTCGAAATTTCACACCTTTATGTGAATTGAAGCAATATCTTAATTCACATAAAGATGTGAAATTTCGAATTCACAAAAACTTGTAAATGAGGAGACAGTACTTAACACTAATAAATAAACAACTTTTAATATCAAAAGGAAACAAATGATAATCGATTTGTCCACCTGTTCTGCATACTCTATATTTAAATCTTGACGAATTTATTGTTTCACCTTCAGTGTAGTTTCAAGAACAATAGTAGAAATAAAATACTGTATTTCGTTGCAAATAAAAATTCAGTGGCAATTGGTAATTTAAAATTTATTGACTCAAGTGTTTTTAAAATTTGCGTGACCAAAAATATCGTGTAGTGTATAAAAAATTTAAAAAATATGCTTAACAATAACAAAATAAAAATAAAATAAAAACAACTTTTCCTGCTATTTTGCTAAGTTTTCCTTTCGTGTTTTCCCTTTGTTTTGTCACTATTGCGCTCACTTTTTCTGTATTTCAACTCACTTTTCTCACTTTTTCAATGGGGCACTCCGAGGCCTGATATAAAACCTGGTTTTCTTAAGGAGGAAGTAAGTCACGGCCTGTATTTCCGATGCGAAGAATTACGTAATTGTCTACCTACGCGACAATTACGTTACTATCGACTGGGCGAAAAGTAGTCGATAGTATCGATAGTATAGTTAGTGTTCGAATCCTATCCGACTCTCGACATATCGAGAATAGTTTAGTTGGGAGATCGCTAAACAACTTGTGAATCCGGTCACCATAATATTAAAATCAAATCAATTGTAACAACATTTCGGAAATTGTGAATAAAGTATTTGTCGTTTGTCTTGATTGATTTGTTTATATTTCGTGCAGGCAGTCAGAGTTGAGTCTCTATTTGTAGCGCTTCGTAAAGAGTTGGTTTCGATTGGCGGTGACAGAACATTTTGCTTTTACTATATATATATGTATATAATGGATATTGATATAGATATTGTTATATATAATATTTATATTGCATTTGTAGGGCTTGTTATGCATGAAATACGGCTATTAAAAGGGTAAAAAAAAGACTTCGTTTTGGGTGTCAGAAGAGGATTAATCCATATTACATAGTTTCTTATGGGAAAATTTGTTTCGGTTTTCGAACAACTTTTAGGAACGAATTAAGTTTGGAAACCGAGGTTTGTTGCTTCTTTTTGTGACAATGTTTTAACATTATTTTAACGTTATTTTGTGACAAAGAGCTCGGATTTATAATAAAGTAGAAAATAATTGGTGTTTAATTTAATTCGATTGTCTACGTAATTAAATCAGCGAATTTTCCTTATAAATTCGCTGTATCGACTATGGTAGCCGCTCTTATTATCGACGTAAGGATTGTACTGTACGTGCGGCTAATAATGATTTCCAAAGTAATTTAGTATAAAAGAAAAGATAAAAACGCGCAACGCCTATTGACGCAATTTTCTTTTTTAGTAGTAAATATGAATATTAAAAAAATATTCACAAAATTGGAAGAAACAATAAAATTCGTCATACTGTATTTCGTGCTTTACCTCGAGAATACAAGTCTTTACGGCAGATTCCACCTTTATTTCAGGCCATTATTGTAGTCCTGGCCATTTTATGTATTCATTAATAATAACCTAAACTGAAACGTCGACTCTGCCGTTAAGAATTATGTTCTCGAGATATTGTAAAGACATTTTGGGGAAAGTAGGGTAAAGTGGCCCACTTGTTTTTTGGCTAAATGGTTCAGAATTTTCAATCCTAACAGATGCAGAGCCAACTTCGAATTCTGAATATGGTGGCTCATAAATGCAAGCAATGCTAATAATACCTGCATCATCTGTGGAGAATTTGGTAGAAACAAAGAATTGTGGTACAACTTCTCCAGATGATTACATTTGTGATTATTGTATTGAGTGATTAAAGTTTTTAATTTAAATTGCTTGAACTTATCATCAAACACAAAAAAACTATTTTGAAAACAATACATATATAAAAAATTAGTAATTCATACGCAAAAACTTAAGTTTTCTAGTTTTTGAAGAAACATTTCTAACGTTTCAGTCTTTTTCAATGGGTTTATATGATGGTTCCCATTACCCCCACATGGCTGCGTAATGGGCTCAATGCAATGTTTTTTTGTGTTTTATAATTAAAACAATATGGAGAGGAATACGCAAGTTTTGACACATGCACTTTATTTCTTAGAGTACACTGTTTGCACCATTAAAATAACTTCTCACAATATCGTTGTTTTCTTAAAAATATGCAATATACCTTAAGTGGGCCCCATTCCCCTACTCTCCCTTTATTGTTCTTCCAATTTTGGGAATATTTTTTAAAATATTTATTATTGTGCCTGTCCACTTTATTTATTAATTAAGTAAATATGAATATGCCTATTAGAGCGATCGGGAAACGGAACGTCAATTGGTTTTATTTAAAATTCACGGTCAAAAACTAGTACATGAACGAAACGATAAAGGTACAGAAAATTTTAATAAAAAAATGCCGAATATTTATAATAAAGTGAAAAATGTTCTGGTTTATTGCAGATACTGTAACTGAACCTTGCTTTTTCGGTCGATGCAACCATACAGTTGGTTCCGATCGAGCCCACTGGAATGTTTAGTGCCAATTTTTTACAATGATTATCGGGACGACGTAAATAAAATTTGAGGTGGGTGAAGTTAATGGCATTTAACCTTGTACCAATGATCGCATCTCTGGGGATGAATTTGCTGAAATAACGTCCCATTGGTACACAGGAAGGAAGCGGAAACTTCCGGTCCGTATTTGCAGAGATGGAAAACTTGGCAGTCGGTCCCAGGATCCGCGTAGAAACCCCAACGTCCTCGGCAATCGAATTCGGTCTCCGGAATGTAACTGTAAGTCGGATAAGGTAACTTTTCTTCCACTTCCGCCTGAAAGCAAAGAAATTAATATAAATGTTGCCGTTTCTACTTTTTCGATGGACATCGATTGCCGCTCTAACCCTCACCATCCCCATTCATCAGAAATTAAGGCACTACCTCCCCTAAATATGTCATTAGATCAGAAATTTAAACCATTCGCAAACACACGGAAATTATTTTCGGACAATTTTGTGATGACTAAGGAGAAAAATAGAAGACGAGTGCAATCTTACGTCATCTAAAGCTCCTCCTTCTCCCCCACTCGTCAGCAATTGTCAGAAACAAACGAATCCTCCCTCGCTCATAATGACGTAACACTTGAATTGTTCCTTGTACTCATTTATATCTTTAACCGAGTTCTAAAAAAGTCACGTGTATGGGATATTACCTTGAGCCGACGACAGAACAGGTTATAAGACGGACTTTATTGTTAATAAAATTGTGAAATATTAATAAGAACATTTATCTTCATTATATATATGTTATTTAAAATATAAAATTAAATTGTAACAGAAATTATTGGGCAAAACATCATTGAAAATTGAACGGCGATTTTCAAGTATTTTCAACACTTAAAACATCTAATTATGTAATGCTTTAATTATTTTACGGAGAAAATGTGTTCGGTTTTCCGTAAAAAGAAAAACAAATGCTACATTCGTACGTATTAATTGCGATTATCCGTTTTTAATTAACGCATAAATTGATAACAAAGTAATGTGATATTTTCATTTAAAATGTTAGTTTTTTTGGCAGTACTACGAAGCGAATTACAAAGACAAAAATAGCGATTAGTAAATGTAAAACAAGACTTTAATTATATAAAATTATAGTAAGATTTCGCCTAGATTACTTAGTCTAGGCCTTCGGTGGTAGTAAGGGTGGTTAACAGGAAAACTAGGTATAACACACACACACAATCGTTTTGATTGTTTTCATTATCTACGTGACCTGTCATATGGATAATGAAAGAGACGTATTGATTGTATTTGCAGATTACAGCTACATTTGAAATAAACTAAACTGCTGTTTTCGTAGATAACCCGATTCGGTTATTACGTTCTCGTTCGTGTCTGTTTCGATGTCGTTGTAGGAATCGAAATCTTCATTACCATCTTCTGGTATCACCGTCTTTAATTCGAGTTTTTCTAATTACCCTTTGGCTGATAATCTCTCGACTTACGAACGGGATGGAGACTTGCCCACGCTAGATATTCGACAATATCTATATTTTATTTCCAAAAATTTTCTCGTCAGCCGTGGAGAATACAAAGTATTGTCTGACTAGACAAGTAGAAGGGATAGAATTTTAATTAAACTTCTTACTCGTCACTTTAAATTACATTACTCTATACAGTGCAGTATTTTCCATGCTTTTCAATCCGGGGTTTATTTTATTATTATTATTTTTTTTTAACAGCACCTTTATTTCCCTGGGTTTAATCGAGAAAATACGGTATTTATATTTTACTGCTCAATTTCTTACTCTTCCGTCGTAATTTTATCATAGTTCATTAGTGTGATTAAAACATAACGCTATTTATTATATTTTTTCCTCGATGCTTCTAAGGTGCATTTCAGTGGTGTATTTAATTAAAGACCGACAATTTGCAGGCGCTCCCAAACTAATAGTGCAACTTTCGCACCGAATGATTCTATTTTATAATCTCACTTCTGCAATAATTGCATTTTTACAGACTTAAATATCGAAAGGGCAAAGGTGCCTTTTTCGATATTTAAGTCTGTAAAATCCTACCATTGAAAACCCGTCATTAGTACATCACTCTGTTCGTGCAAACTATATTCATTATTAATACTACTCAACTTACTGTTCCTACTTTTAATCTGTACTAATTCCTTTACGAATTGTTTCTAAATAAAATTATTTTCCCCCTATTTTATTGGTATTATTATTATTATTTTGAAGGCCCGGTCTAATAGGAAATCCGTCACGTATTGATCTTTAATATACTTGAAATTATTTCGACATAATCTTTGATTATACGTTTGTTTGAATTCTTTTCCTCCCTAATCACAAGATATTAACGTTTACTTTTCCGTTAAAAATGTGAATTAATTATACAACGGAATACGAGGAAAACTTACATTTACGCAGTAGATGAGCGCAAACAAATCTGAAAAAATATTCTTTTATATATATTTTATTGTTTGATAAATAATAATAACGTTATTATACTTACTAAATACGAATGGAATGAGATTGATCATCTTTTGTTTTCGTAGAGTCGTAGGTTTTTGTGTAGAATCCTCGACGAATCTGTAAATGTAAATGAAAAGTAATCTGTAGATTTGTAAATCCATCAATTCCTTAGTTATTCCTATTGAAAATATTCGTAATAAAACTAGGAAAGTCGTCACTACGCTCGGGATATTATAAGTGTTTCTTCAACGTATTAATCAAGATAAAAGAACATAACTTTATTTCGATTGCGATACGATGCATCGGAAGAGTGCCATCGGTAGCCAATTAATATTCGATAATATCTCGAAATAGTAATCTTAACGACATTTTTCACACGTAATAATGTTAAAGATGCTATTAAAATTGCATGAAGAATTTACGGTATTATCGGCTTAATACCGCGAACGGGATACAAACGTAAAAGAGTTTCTATTCCTACTCGTAATTAAATTGCTTTAAATTTTTTCCGGGTGATAACTTACTAAATACTATATAATGGGAGGGCCAACCACTTGGCCAACGATCACTTCGTTATCTGTAGGCCTGTATATTTACTCCGATTATTCGAGAGAATTTATATTATCATTTGACGAATTAAAACAATTAAAATTAAACATTTCGGCTATTTTTACAGTTCTTATAGACGACAGACGAGGAAATTTAATGTCGAATATCTCGACCACTTCGAAAGTTTCGTTAAACAAAACATAAATTCTTAAGTAGGTTAACGTCGTATCTTCGTTTATTTTAAAATTTACTCCACTCTTAAAAGTAATACGCAACATTAAAATGATTAAAGATACTTACGTATATTAAAATGTAACAGCAAGACTCGAGAAAATAATAAAGGTAACGCGTAACGTTCATCGTTGCATCTTTAGTTGTACGGACGAAGGCGAAACTCGCATGCGCCGCGACCTCTCTTCGCTCCACTTTGTCGTCTTGTTACGTTATACTGTATTACAGTCGTAACGATAAGAAAACCGATTGGAAATTGTATTGACTAAATTAATGGACTGTAGATCTGTTTTACAGAAATGGTTCGTTTCAATATCAGACGATGGCAGCCCGAGGGCACGGAAGGGTCTAAAAATTGATGATAAAATATGACAGGGAAGAGGTAGGTAGTCAAAAACAAAGACTTAAAATTGGTGACATCATATTTGAATGACCTCTTTGTACGAGTTACTTTGAAACTATCGGCTAGTCAGCTGTAAAATTCTTACTGCAGAAGAGCCGGAACAGGGTTGAGGAAAACGGGGCACTTGCCTCAGTTTAACAATGGAAAAGAGCGACAAATTGGTGAAAAATGAAAATCAATAAATTGCAAAATAAAAAAAAAAAACAAAAGCCAAATATATCTTGCAATATTCGTCAAATACTTTAAGAACACTAATGATTTGTATCAAATGCTCTCGCTCGATTCACTTGTTTCCTCGTATGATATTAAGCTTTGTATATTGTTTTTCTTTTGTTAAGGTTGCTGCGATTTTATTTGTAATATGTGTAACTTTATATTCTTACTACTATTGTACTATTACTGCGTTCTGTGATTTTTCTATTTAATAATTAATATGTATATTTTCTTCCCAAAATCATTTATTTATTTATTTTTATTTAATACTTATTAGAGGAAAAAAAACTATACATAGGGATGAAAATTTATCCTTCTTCCTCATTTGAAAATACCTCTTGGCCCGGCTCTGCTGCGCAGTGTTTTACCAGGAACAATAGAGGTGGCATAATCCGCCCTACATATAGGCGAAAAAGGCAATGTATAATGCTACTCGCTTTCAGGAGTTCGCAAATACTGTGGTACTAAAATATACTAGCAAATATTTAAATAGTCAAATTAGTAATTATTGAAAATATAATTTCTCCGATATTTGTTTCGCAATGGCGCCCATAAACTACGTGCATAAAATATGAGGAGGCACCAGACAAAAAAAGAGTATCTTACTATGCAAGAAGCTTCAAGCTTTGTAATTCCATGTGGAGCTAGTTGCACTTGGGGCTAACTTGGCCTTGAAAACAAGGAATGTGGTTTTTGGTCAGCATATGACATCGTTGCATGGGACGAATATAATTTATTAGTTTCTTTTATATTTGCAGAATTGACAAGAAGTCATAAATTTTCTGTTGTTTGTTGATAATGGAATTTGGGACCCTCTTAGGAATTGGGAAAAGTGCAATTCAGGGCACGAGCCCCAATGTACGGGAGCTCTTGTGTCTGCGGAATGATCAAAATCAAGACGTTGATCAACCTCCAATCAATAGTGTGTCAAGAGAGGCTTTCGATCTTGTCCTTTGAAAGATATGTTGTTATAAAACTGGTGTTTTATTCTGTAATTGACTCATTCAGCCCTGCTAATAATAGCAAGAGAAGAATATTTTAGGAATTTCCATACTACTATTGAATTTTTCAATTCTTTGTAAAACTATTGTTTTTTATTGGGCTACAATTTGAAAGAATTATAGATCTATAAATACTTACTGTCGTCCGTCTCTTTCCTTAATCTGCAGAACGGAGTTAGATAGATGAAATACGAGACCAGATATGAAAACCTTAAGGGCAGGAGGCCCCGATGAACTATATACGAACTTTTGATTCTAACCACAAGCCACCAAAAATTTTCCCCTGAAAGGTGATAGATGACCGGCACAACTCTGTTGTTAAAGGAAAGGTATGATGTACCAGGGCAAGACACTACTAACTTGAGGTGGAGAGCATATATTTTAATTATTTCATTGTGTTTTACTCCCTGTTTCCATATTAAAAATGTTCTTATTACTGTAAACCTTTTTTTAAACTCTTTCCACTCTGTGAGCATTAAGAGGGCCTCTTTTAGCAAGCTCATTATGGGTTCAGTCAGGTCCATATTGGTACGGCCGAATAGTGAGGGGACCCGACATATCCGGACGACCACCGCCTGAAAAATTTCTAGAGTTTTTTCGACCCTTCCGGATTCTGATTCCCCAGAGTGGTAGGCTGCCACCTTGACCGTTCGGCCGTCGTTTTCGTAGACCTAAATAAATCTACCCTCTACGTCTATCTATTCATCGTACTTTTAATAGGTTTCAAAAATAAATTTCGCCTAAGGCTTTGCAAATCCCAGGGCCGCCTCTGGACGTGGACATTCCAGTTCCGCTTCTGGAACTGGAATGGTTGAAACTGTTCCGTTAGAACGGTTCCTCGAATCTCCTACATAGATATTGCACAGAATGAAGTCAATCAATAGAAAAGATTATTCCTTTTGTATGTGGAAATGGAATCTGGAGTTAAAAATGTTCTTACTAAAATTGGAAATTATCTACAGCTTAGATTGTACATCGCCAGTTTCTGGAAATTTGTAAACAATTACTTATTAATATTACTAAACTTTTTAATCGAACAATAATAGTTTATTATTTCTGCAGAGTGTTTAATGAATTAAATCTACTAAACAAAATGGGCCAAGCGGTTCAGTTTCCTGAACACTTGGGTTCGAGCCTCGACAGGACGGACTGGCCACGTGGAGTTTACCGGTTTTCTCCACGTCTTTAACGCCAAAATTGGGACCAGTTACCTTTAAAAGACTTCCCGGAAGACATTATTCCCCGCGTATGGCCAAGCAATAAGCTTCGGCCGGCTCATTGGATACTATCATCACTGCTCTATCGGAGAAATGAAGCCATACAGGATTTATTTCTCCGATGAGCATACTTTATATCAACCATGACAAAGAAGAAGACAAAACAAAATGAGCGTTTTTCGTCTTTATTACAACGAAAGTAAGTTATTTCGTGTAGGCTAATGATTATGGTATTATTTACGTACAACATTTCGTTTAGCAAAGAAGGTCAATCAAATGACCGAAAGAGTTTCAAGAGACTGCATTCTAACAGGTTGTTTCAAGTTTGTTTTCAAGTTCTTATGATTTTGATTATGTTTCTTCTGCTATTTTGTTTTGTCTTCGGCACTTCGAAACTTGGCAACATTTAGAGCGTTACAACGGTTAACACGAAGAGGAAGTTGCTAAACCACAGAAAACCTCAACGATTATCCTCCGTTGAGGGGGAATTGGTAATATCGTCACACTTCGGACTGTCACTATTAACGTCGAATTGTTGCACGTGGATGAATGATTTTTACATAGAAATGACAATCTACTAAATAAAAATGTGGAAGAGCGCGAGGGAACTGGTTCGATTACGTCTTCTTTCATCTACATTCACAATGTAAAAAGACTGGACGAAAAGTTGTGTTACGCGAAAACTCGACTCGTTCCTATTTATAAAGATCGTGGGCGGAAAGTGATCCTGGATGGCGTCCAGAGATTTGTTTACAATCGGAAGTGGTCTTTCCAGATTTTCGAATCATAAATTTTAATTAAAGTCAATTATCATTCGTCAGAAATTTCAAGAAAATTCCAGAAATTGAGAAATGGAAAGGAATGACGCCTTTTACTAAGTAAAATATTTTCGATTATTGCAAATTAATCAAAAGACATTTCCTCCACACTCTAATATTCGGTTAGTCTATTCCTACTTTTTTAGCTAAGGATGAAAGTCCCGATAAATGTCGTATAGGAAGACATTTTGTAACGATTGAATGTAAAATAAAACTAAGTAAAATACAAAAGTATTCGAAGAAGTAGTATGCGTTTGATACATTCTGAAGTACAAAAATTAATTAGTATATATAACACATTTTTTCAAAAAAAAATTTTTTTTTATAAAATTTTTTTTTGAAAAAATGTGTTATATATACTAATTAATTTTTGTACTTCAGAATGTATCAAACGCATACTACTCGAAGATTTTTTGGTTTCCTTAAAGTAAATTTTAAAAATTCGTTAGAACTGACGATAGAAATACGAGAATAATCGAAATCGGAATATGAACAACAACGAAAGAACATGACAAATGTTACCTATTATTTTGTAAGATAACATCGCGCATTTATCACATTTAAAAATCAATTTACCTTTAACGCAGTCGTAGAAGGAAAATATCTTGATTTCTGATGTTTTCTGCTCGTGCCTTTAAATTAGGTAAATGGGTCGCCGGAGCCGAACCGGTTTCTACTTTTCTTCGAAGATCCTCAAATGTACGTGCAAATGAAATTTGTTTCGCTGTCGAGTGGTAGACGAAGGCACGACGTTATTGGTGGTAAAATATTCTTTATTTTCGTTGCGATTAGCTATCCGCGTGAACTATACGCGCATGCATTGTCGGAGACTTCTGGCGTCATTCGTTTTATATATAATTTATGAAAGTATTAAGCACTACGTGTTTAATAAAAATAATAACGTAGTCTACGTAATTGGCATTCTTTTCGGATATAGAGAAACCGACAACACAAATCCGTATACGATGTGAAGTCGGCATTGTTGGCGTTATTTAGGGGAGAGGAGGGATAGAGTACTCACCTTATGTTACCTTTTTGCATATCTCAGGTGTTTATTGTTTCGTCAGAATACATTTCTGTCTGAGTATATATCTTTCCGCTTGGCTGTTAGAAAGAAAAAAACAAATATAGTTTTGACAAGAAATTTTAAAAAAGGAGATCTCAATGCGTACTCTTTCTCTGCGCTGGAAGTTAAGAGTACGCAACTTATCGTTTAAGAATACGCACTAATAGCAATCACACATGAAACCTTTTGTGCCTTCATAGTCTGAATATTGCTCGTGCCACCACTGTGCACAATGTGGACATTGTGCACCCAGTCATCGTGGAAAGATTCGTCACAGGCAGGACAGAAAACGCCTTCATCATTAGACTTATCAATTCTCTTGCTAGTCATTTTTTCACGAATCCAAGTCTTTCTTGCGCCCACTGTATTTTTACCTTTTTTTTATTTTTCGGCTTTTTTCCTTTTCCGTCTGCTCTAAGATATTCCGGAAAGAATCTCTGACTCGAGTACTGTCTGACACTGCTGAATACTCTTACCCTTCGAAACAAAATTTCATTAATTTGCTGATAGAATGCAACTCCAGGCAAAAACCGGCACGAAAGCTAGCTTCGACCCCTATCTTTATCCCTTCAAACAATACTTTCACAACTCAGACAACAAAATTGAGAAAGCTTGTGGCCCGAGTTTGCAAAGTTACTTCCGAAAACAGAAAAGACTGTTTACTAAGCTATCAATGCTCTGGCCACTCACAGACCAAAAACAGTTGGCTCCGACACACTTTGCCATCAACAGTAAAATGTGTGCATGGGAAAGTCTTCAGTCAGTGTTTCCAAATTTGAGAAACACGCAATGTATACTCTTAACCTCCTCTCATCTATGATTTCATAGAAAATAGTTTCGTTTCTTCCGTCATAATCTTAGGAAGGCGTTTATTTCCGATAAGATTTCTTTATTATTATTATATTTTTTAAATTCACGACACTGCCAAATTTCCATGCTTTTAAGCATGAAAATCTGGTAATATTTACAATGGGGGCGAATTTGTTAGAGGAGAAGAAATAACTTACACCTGTTATGCGGACACATATAACATAGCTTAATATTCATTTTAAAAAGTCACAATAAAACTCCTTTTTTTGGGACGAATCTCGGAAGACAGCTTTAGATAAATTACAGCCAAAGCTTAAGGCTTGTCTACACACAACGGTTTATCGTACCTTTTACCTTTAGAGGCAAAAGTACGACTTCATAAAATAATTAAATTGTGGCATCCAAGCGACATCTGTTTCTTTTTATGACATTACAACCCGTTTTCAGAAATATCTGAAATTCTATTCACCATTCTCTCCCTCTCTCTCGAGATTTTATTGTTTCTAGACGTGCCATTTGTATTTTACTAAATTCCTGAACACGACCTATTGTTTCTTTCTTGAAAACCTTTCCACTCGGCGGAACTAAAACTTACGCTTATTATTTCCTTTTTAATAACTCGAGATTAGACCAATAAAAACTACACTNTAGTTTCGTTTCTTCCGTCATAATCTTAGGAAGGCGTTTATTTCCGATAAGATTTCTTTATTATTATTATATTTTTTAAATTCACGACACTGCCAAATTTCCATGCTTTTAAGCATGAAAATCTGGTAATATTTACAATGGGGGCGAATTTGTTAGAGGAGAAGAAATAACTTACACCTGTTATGCGGACACATATAACATAGCTTAATATTCATTTTAAAAAGTCACAATAAAACTCCTTTTTTTGGGACGAATCTCGGAAGACAGCTTTAGATAAATTACAGCCAAAGCTTAAGGCTTGTCTACACACAACGGTTTATCGTACCTTTTACCTTTAGAGGCAAAAGTACGACTTCATAAAATAATTAAATTGTGGCATCCAAGCGACATCTGTTTCTTTTTATGACATTACAACCCGTTTTCAGAAATATCTGAAATTCTATTCACCATTCTCTCCCTCTCTCTCGAGATTTTATTGTTTCTAGACGTGCCATTTGTATTTTACTAAATTCCTGAACACGACCTATTGTTTCTTTCTTGAAAACCTTTCCACTCGGCGGAACTAAAACTTACGCTTATTATTTCCTTTTTAATAACTCGAGATTAGACCAATCAAAAAATACACCACTCGTACTTTTCCAGCAATAGCTTTAATCACAGAACAAACGTTTTCGGCTAATTTACAGGCCTAACGCAGGCCTATTAACTGATCCAAAAATAAAAAAACGCAAGACTCAAAATACAAGCGTAAACTATAATTTACTAAAATGTCGAGAACACTCATTTTATATGCAAACTACATTGCAATGAATTATGCAACAAATGATCTTGCCAAGATGGAGTATAAAAATGAATTTTCTTACGTAATATTCTTAATAGTTATTAACTCTTTATTACTTTTTAGGAGAATTTTAACTTTAATATTATGATTTATAACACGACAAAGGTCAAAATGCAGTTTTCTATTGTAAATATTTTTACAAATCGAAACCAAAGTTTTCACAAACAAACTATAACTACGACCAATTATTTATTGTGACAATGCCGGGCCGCAATTTTTAATCATATTTTCAAATCATTTAATTTAACATATATGCTCTCCATCTCAAATTAGTAGTGGCTTTCATCTGTACATCACACTTTTCCTTTAACAATAGAGTAGTGCCGGTCATCTATTAACTGCTTTCGGGAGCAGGGAAGTTTTAAATTGATAAACGTGACTTCCGGTTCGCATCGGAAGTTCATATATAGTTAATTGGGACCTCCTGTTCCTAAGGTTTCATATCTATCTTTCGGATTTCATCTAACGTCGTTTTCGAGATTGAGACAAATAGACGGACGGACGACAGTGGGAATTTATAGGTTTACAATTTTTTCAAATTGCAGCCCCGTCAGGTCAGGGGTCAACGCCAATTAAAGAATAGGAAAGTTCAGAATGTCAATCGGAAAAATCCAGCTTTGACTATGTCTCTCGTAGACACGCCAAAGTTTGGAAATAAATGTAGTACGACCCCCCTATAACACTGTTGATTATTCCGTTTTATATGAATTCCATGTTGTATGAGTCACTTAGATTTTACAAATACGTGAGCAGTTTACAGTCCGGTACACGTATTTGTAAAATCTAAGTGACTCGTACAACATGGAATTCATATAAAACGGAATAATCAACAGTGTTATAGGGGGTCGACTGTATTCCTTTGAAAGCAAAATTGTCGCGTTGTAAGTAATGAAAACATAAAGAAAAATTCTTAGCCGTTAAAAAAGAAAAACATCATGGAGTGAGATAAGAGCGAAAGTTTCAAAGTTGGATCAACGCTTTCGGACCAAGTCTAACGGAAGTGTCAAATTGATTAATTTGATCGGTTTATTGAAATTAATTTAAAGGCGGAAAGCCAGAAATTCAAGGAGGAAGAAGAATGGTCGTTTCTTCCCGGCTCTATCTGTTTATCCTTTCTGTGTCGGTTCCCCTGTTGTCTCGGACTTCGTTTTCGTTCCGTCGTATTATAAAGGTTTTTGGGTATTTCTTTTTAATATTAACTTTATCCAGTTTGATGTTGCATTAATACGCGAAACGTGCAACCCGAGGAATCTTTCCGAAGAGCGAAATAATATTGGGCCAAATAAGTCGAAATCTCGGGAATTTGATTTATTGTATTTCACGCGATGGCCAAAAATGGACGAAAAAGATATTTATCAACCTATTCAAATGAATTTCGTGCAATTTTCGCAGTTGGTCGAGCCTCGAGACGTAGAATTTAAGAAGATCGTCTTTAACCCCTCCACGGTGGCCATTCTGAACCGTGTAAATACAGAAGATAATTTATTTATCAAATTGCGAACACAAGAAAATGATTGAAGCAAAATAAAGAAAAAATTAAAAATTAATTCATTAAGAAAATTTAAACAAATTGATATTTTTTATTCTAATTTTTACGAAATTTGAACATTGTTGACGCGTCTTTTAACGTTTGTTCGAAATACGTCACACGTGACGATTCGTAGTTAGATTGTGTTTCTGATGGGATTCGGACGTGTTTTTGTTGAGCTAGTATATTATGTGCTGTTTTGGCAGTTTCCACAGTTCGAGAAAGAATAAAAGATATTTTTGAGGTAAGTCTTAGTCCATATTGACCCTAGACGTAAGAATTTATTTAATATTGCCGGAAGAATCGTTGCCAGAAGCAGTAGCGTAGCGTAGTGGGGGCGGCAAAATTTCACAATAAATAATAATAATATCTCGTAAGAATTTGGACCATTTTATTTCATATGTTCGTCCACCTACGACTCGGATCGATTGAAATTAGCACGGAATAGTGTTACCATCCATCCGGATAATCCGGGAATTGACTCGCCGTCCGGGGATATCGTGCGCGACCTGTTGACCTTTTTTTTCTTGCTTGTACAATTTATTCGTTTATATATACACCTTCAATATCCAATGGAGCTAGGTCACTTGCGTTACTCCTATCCAAGTTTACCTAGCCGCTAACTGTAACTGATTTAGAACCAGCATGCACTGCACATTATTCTTCGCATTGCAAAATGACATACGCGTGCGTCAGGAACTTCTATTCGAACAAACCTCACCTGCCGTCCGGGTCAGCGATTTTAAAAAGGTGTCAACACTAGCACGGAATTTTTCATTACTTATTCTGTGACGAAACTGAATTTTAGTCTTTTAAATTG